AACAGCAAGAGCAAGGGAGAATCCTAGATTCCCTGGTGGAGGCTTTTGATTCCGTCTCTCTAGCAGAAGCGGCGTCTGCATACGAGCAAGCTGGTAGGTGTTTGGGCAGTTTCGAGATCCAATACTGTAGATATCTTCGGCTGCTTCAACACCTGAAATTTCCGATGATGTTTTCTTGGAGAAAATACTCTGACGCTCAAATTAGCAATACTCAATATTTTTTAAAGAGAGATACTCTCAAAGAGTAATTGTAGAGAGAGAAGTGTAGTGGAGTTAATACCTTATATGAGGTAGTTGAGGTATTTATAATCCCATATACTAACATGAGTTCATACGTGTATTCATCCAATTGGTTCACATGTTACTACCCACGTGAGTGTGTCTCCTCTTTTTGGGCCTGTGAGCATATTTTTTTTTTTTTTGATAAATCAAAAGCAAAATTTTATTAAGAGAATGAGTACAAGGGGTACTCACCCATTACATGAAGAAAAAACAGGGAAGGAGAAAGGGAAGGAGTTAGGACTGGGTTGCACAAAGCATTGGAAACTGATACCAGTCACTTAAGCAAAAACTAGTAGATTTCGACCTTCCTTTAATCCAAGTAAAAGTCTTAACTTGCACTAAATCTGTAATATAATTCTCATCCCAAGAAAGTTTGTTGAAAACAATACCATTTCTGGAGTACCAAATAGCCCAAGCTGTTGTAAAGATGGTAAGAGCCCAATGGTGGCTTGCCTTCTTTGGGATTGGAAGCAAGCAAAGCTGTAGAAGTAGATGGGTGATGTGGTCAGTATGGATGAATTGAAGTCCCCACCAGCAGCATATACGGTTCCAAAGGCTTTGAGAAAATTTGCACTTTGCAAAAACATGGTTTGCATCTTCCATATAACTACCACATAGGACACATGACGGGTTTGATACTAAATCAACACCACGCTGTATGAGGTTATCCTTGGTAGGGAGGTGATTTAAGCAGAGGCACCAGGTGAAGACACTAACTTTAGCTGGCATTAATTGATTCCATATCAATTTGCAAATGTTCTCATCAAGGCAGGAAGGAGACACATCAAGAAACAAGTATGCCATTTTTGCAGAATATCCTGAGGGACAGTGCTTCCAAAATTTTCTATCTCCTTTGCCTTCGGATACAGTAGCACTTCGCAAAGTGTCCTCCAATATCTTGAGTTCATCTAGCTCTCTTCCAAAAGGGGATCTACGCCATTGGAGATTTCAGCTCTCGCTATTGGTTGGTTTCAAATCAGCAACTGTCGATTCCTTGTCCAAAGTGAGGTTGAATAGTCAAGGAAATTCAAGCTTTAGAGGAGAGCTTCCCAGCCAAATATCCTTCCAAAAGCTAGTTTTTGAGCCATCACCCAACTGATGTGTGAAACCATTTGAAAAGCTCATGACGGTTCTATCACATACCCTGTCAATAGATAAAATGTCTTTCCAAAAAGAAGATAATCTTGAGGATGTAGTGTTGTGGATAAAATTACATGTAGAGCCAGCATAGTATTTACTAACAACAATCTTTTTCCATAGATTCTCATTTTCAGCATCATCGTAGAATTTGTTCCACCATTTTCCTAAAAGGGCGATGTTCCTAATGGATAGGTTTGGGATACCGAGACCTCCCTTAGTTTTAGCTAGAGAGACCTTACCCCAATTAACCCAAGCAATCTTTTTATTCTCATCAAAACCCCCCCATAAGAAGTTTTTTTGGATTCTAATAAGTTCTTTTAGGATGCCATTAGGAACTTTAAAAACAGAGAAGTAAAAAAGAGGGAGAGCAGAGAGTACCGACGTGAGAAGCGTGATACGACCACCGAATGATAAGAGCTTGCCTTTCCAAGATGCCAATTTAGATCAAAATTTTTCAATCATTGGTTTCCAAAAGCTATGACGATGCGGGTTACCACCAACAGGAAGCCCAAGGTAAATAAATGGTAATTTCCCAGCTTTACAATTTAAGGCCAGGGCTGCCATGCTAAGCCATTGCTCATCCACATTAATCCCATACAAAATGCTTTTATTGAAATTAATTCTGAACCCAGACATAATCTCGAATCATCGCAATGCACATTTGATAGTCCAAACTGAATTAGTAAAAGCCTCGCAAAGGAGAGCAGTATCATCAGCAAACTGAAGGTGAGAAACTGAAGTATTCTCATCAACCTTCACCCCTTTAAACATATCTTTCATTTCTGCCTCAATGAGAAGAGCATGCAAGCCTTCAGCAGCAATAAGGAATAAGTATGGAGAAAGAGGGTCACCTTGCATTAGTCCTCTCTGCATCTTGAATTCTTGTGTTGGACTTCCATTGACAAGAACAGAGACAGAAGCAGACGATAAGCATTCTTTGATCCAACTTCGCCATTTCTCACCGAAGCCAAGTAGATGGTGAATTGTATCCAGATAGCCCCAATCAACAGAATCAAAAGCCTTTTCAAAGTCTGCTTTAAAGATAATACCCTTTTTTCTCCTACTTTTCATGTCATGCACAAGCTCATTTATAGTTAAAACACTGTCAACAAGTTGCCTTCCTTTTAGAAAAGCAGATTGACTTGCACTTATCACCTTACCAATTACCTTCTGAAGTCTATTAGCAAGTACCTTAGCTAGGATTTTATATAGGCACCCAACCATGCTGATCGGCCTGAATTCCTTCAAGGATGTGGGATTTTTCTTTTTAGGGACTAGCGTAATATAAGATGAATTTAGGCCCTTAACTAGTTTCCCATTTCAATGGAACTCTTTGATGAAGTTGATAACATCTCTTTCAATTGTATTCCAGATTGTCTTGATAAAATGAAAGTTAAGACCATCAGGCCCTGGAGCTTTGTCACTTGCACAAGAAAAAACAGCATCTCTGATCTCATCATCTGAAAATTCTGCTTCCAACATAAGCTTATCTTGTTCATTTAATTTGCTGAATTGTAGGTGCTCCAAACATGGTCTTGGTTGTTGGTAAGATTGAGAAGAGAATTGGTTTTTAAAGTGATCCATAATTATTTGCTTCAATTGCATGGGCTCATCAATCCAGGAGCCATGGTTGTCAATCCCCCAAAGCATATTCTTCTTTCTCCTACCATTAATAATCCTGTGGAAAAAGCCAGTATTTGCATCCCTTTCCTTGATCCAGGTTGCCCTAGATTTTTGTCGCCATAGACTTTCTTTCTTCTTAAGGCAAACCCATAACTCTGCAAATCCATCTTTTCTTTTGAGAATATCATCATCTGAAGGATCTTGATCTTCACATCTAACATCGACTATCTCAACTTTCTTCAGTGCCTCTTCAAGTTGGCTGTCAATATTGCCAAATACTTCCTTGTTCCATGTCTTCAAGTGCTGCCTAAGCTTTTTGACCTTTTCTTTACATTTAAACCCCCAATATCCTTCAATTTCAAAGGAATTCCACAACTTCTCAATCATTGGATTAAAGTTGGGGTGCATTGTCCAGCTATTTATAGATCGGAAAGGTTTGGGACCCCAATCATGGTTGCTTGAGCTTAGACTGATAGGACAGTGGTCACTGATGCTTCTTTTTAATGCAAGTTGAACACAATTGCCCCAGAATTCCAGATAATTCTCTGATAAAAGAAATCTATCCAATCTACTTTGAGCAGACCCATTGCTATTATACCAGGTAAATTTTCTGTTTGAAAGGGGTAAATCAACAAGGCAGTTTGATTCAATAAACAAATTGAAATTGTCAGATCCAGGATGAGAAGTCATTCTACCTTTTCTTTCATGTGATCCCCTGACACAGTTGAAATCACCTCCAATGCAGAAGAAACAATTTCGAGCTTCAATCAGATTGGATAAGTCTTCCCATAATTTTACACGACCAGCTACATTACAGGGACCATACACATTCAACAAGCAGCATTTTGATTTATTTTTTCCCCATAATCCCTCAATACCCAAGAAGCCATCACCTTCAAACACCTCAATCTTCTCAAATAAGCTAGGATCCCATAAACATAGGAGACCGCCAGCCTTACCATCAGAGGCTTTTGCACACCACTCGACATTATCCTGCCCCCAAATTGATCTACACAACTGATCATCAACCCTTTCAACTTTTGTTTCTTGAATCATCAGGAAATTTACATGCTCCCGTTGGACCATACTCCTTAATTCTTTCCGCTTGATGTTGTTTCCAAGCCCCCGAGTATTAGATGAGACAATCTTCATTGATCAATAAAAAATTCTGGTAGCATAGACAGGAAGATTTAAGGCAAGTGATGCCCCAAATCACGTTCCTCTAACTCACAGAATTTTGACGCAAAGAGCTCTTCATTTCCCACAAAACAGAGCCCTAATTTTTTTCCAAATTCCACAAATCTTCTAATATCTATTTCACTCACCTCTTTCACTGATAGCCTGCTTCTCCTTTCTATAAAATTGTCTGATATAGAAGGTCCTGAACGTTTGGATCCAAACAGCCGCCTCTTGCATCGTTTCATTTGCTTGGGTTTCTTCTTCCTTGCTCCACGGTGCAATCCTGTGACATATGTTAGGGATTCTGTGTTTCGGAGATCTGCGACATTTTGTAGATCATCTGGATCTTGATGGTGATATGTCTCCGATTGGTCATGGGCTAGAGATATTGGGGGAGTGTTCTGAATTGGGCTAGTGTGGGCCGTTGTTAAGCCTTTTGGGGTATTTTGGTCTTTGGGTTCCTTTCCACGTGAGTGGGAGTCAGTAGAAGATTGAAAACTAGATTTGTCGCCACCATATTCTGACACAAGACCTTCTACACTTCTTCTAGCATCATTTTCCAAAGCAACTACATCATTACTCAAAACAGTGTTCTTCTTGGGACTTACAACATCTGTAGGCATTTCAAATTTCCCAACGGGCTGATCATTGACTAAATGAACCAGCTATTCAACTTCCTCATCGGAGGGAGCGTGCCATCTACCGGAGGCTTGATCGGAGACCGAATCAGAAAGATCATCAAACTCAAATTCTTCACTGTCATAGATTTGGGATGCATTTAACCACCAAGGATCAGTCCGCCACCTTTCTTCTATAATTTTTAACTGGTAAAAATGATTTCGAACATTCAAGGAAATGTCTTGCTCAATTTGATTTGTTCCAGTTGTTGTGATGAGGACTCTAGCAGCATCAAGGCACACTTTCTCAGCTGTATAAGGATCCACCTTGATGAAATTTCCCAAGTGATTCCCGATCTTCTTGAACGTTCTCTGGTTCCAAACTTGTAAAGGAAGACCAGTTATTCTGACCCAAGCAAACCTTTCTTTAGCTATGTCGAGTGGGCTCCATAATTTGATTCTACTGAACCATTTGCACCACCATGCTTCATGTTCCTCAATAAGCTTGGTTACTATGTTCCGATCATCAACTTTTAGCAATACTTTGCGTCCCCCCATTGGAGTGACTGAGATGGACGGGAATCCATTTTCCCAGAATGTTTACTGGAGACCAGGGATGAGATCAGGGCTAAAAACCTCACCAATAGCACAATTTGAAAGCCAACTAGAGTCCACCATGTCATCGTCCACCTCTAGGACAGTCATTGCATTCTTCCGTTCCTTGGCTTTTTCCATTGGTTGGGTTTGGGGTATGGTATTTTCTTGGTGGGTTTTGTTGGTAGGATTGGTAAGGTTTAGCCCGTGTAGAAGGAAATCTGCAAAAGATCTCAGTTTGAAGGTTCCAGGGGGTGGTGGCGGTGGTAGAGGGCGAGATGGTTTTGGGGCTGGCTGTTGTGGCTTTCTGTCAATGGCTATGGTAACCCTGAGTTTCTTTGCTCCAAAGCAGATCATCTTAAGTGATTTCTCCAACCTGCCTTTGTCTTTCACATCAGAAAATCTCACAAATCCAAATTTGTTGCCTTTTCTGTCCTTCTTTCTAGGAATAAACACATCCACAATTTTTCCTAGCCCAGCACTGTAGGTTGCAAACAGGTACCAGAGCCGCTTAGGAGACCAGTTTTCAGGGAAGTTTGTGAATAGGTAAGAGGTTGCTTTCTTCAGAAGGTTTCGATCGTACATTGGCAGTCTGGAAGGAAGAGATCTCTCACCAGTGGGCTCATTCTCACTTCTCGTCGTCATTCCTCGCCGCTGCTCCTTGCTTCTTGCCGATGTTCCGAAAGTCGGGCCTGTGAGCATATAACTGAGCCTGTTGTGTGTGACCCGAAGCGAGTGTTGGACCTAATCCCAACATTACTTCACCCTTAGTGTTCGGTTGATGAACTAGGTTAAGAGTTCCAATAGCACAGTGTTCGACCCTAAAGATGAGGAGTGACATTTTATGATTTGCGATCGACCTCATGCATGACCAAACTGGGCAATCTGACGCCAGCGCCATCTAATCTGATGTGTATGTATATACTGGTTTCCTACCGAGCATGCATGGGCAAACTGGTGTCAAAACTATTGCATGAGTTCGATGCTAATTGGCGAGCTCAATAGGCGCGTAAAGGCGATCTCGTATAATAGATTTCCTATTTCCAAATGAGATAGGTTTGAGACGAAGTAAAGTCTCTTGACCAAGCGTGCGTTGTATATCAGCTTTGGCATTTTCTTCAACAAAGGTTGCAGAGACGTTCCAACAAAAATTAACGGCAGTTGTGACGGTGACGGAAATGATATGGAGGACGAAGAGTGCGACGTGGAGGCCTGGGCTACGCTCAGCAAGGGGTTTAAGCAAGCAGGTGTCGGCCGTGGCCGATCAGAACCGGAAGCTGATGAATGAGAATCACCATTCACCACTCCAAAATCCTCGGTAAAAGCCTAAAAATAGCCCCTTACCTTGATAAGTTGGACGGTTTTAGCCCATCACCTTATAATATAACGGTTTTAGCCCCTAACCTATAAGAATGGAAGAAAATAGCTCTCACTTCTAACTTCCATTATACTTCCGTCACCTCCGTCACTTTTTCCGTTAACTTTTGTCTGGCTTATACCTATAATAAATAAAAAAAAATGGGAAAGCTTCT